CTGAAGCAACACTAAGGCTATCCACCTTGTCTGCTCTTACCATTTCAGATACAAAGAAAAATACTATTATTTACTGATTCCTTTTACACATAAAAGGCAGTCCCTGGAGTAACTCAGCCACCTGGGTTAATGCCAACTCAGGATGGAATTTTCTAGCCTGGTCCTACAGCACTTCCTTCATACTTACTGTACACACGAAACCAACATGCTGTTGAATCCACATTTACGCTGTTGAGCACTGCTCAGAAATAAGTGCTCCTTACACATTCACCATGCCTTACATCTGTTTGTATTCAACATTCAACCCTACCTATTTTGTGAATCCCCAGATGAAAATAACCATTGAATAATTTATACTGGAAGGGACATGCTGAGCACACTCAATCCCATTGTCTATGTTGTAAGTAAAGCCAGTAACAGCCTTGGCCCTGCTATTTACCCCTCAGGCATGCCACTAGTAATCAGCTGCCAGCTGGACCTTGTACTGCTGATCAACACACCTCGAGCCCACCAGTCCAGTCACTTATTGTCTACTTACCCAACCCAGATCTCACCAATTTGGCAAAAAGAACACTGCAGGAAACGGTGTCAAAGGCCTTGCTAAAGTCCAAGTATTCAACTCCCACTACTCTCTCTTTCATTGCAGAGCCAATGATCTCATCATGGAGAGCAAGCAGATTGGTCAGGCACAATAACAAAATATTCCTTCTTCAAATAATCCTTGCTTCCTCTCTTCTTCTTGAGTGTAAACTAAATTGAAAGCCATACGTAATCCCAGATGTAACTTTGCCCACCAAAAATGCATGGAATGCATTACTATTACAGACACCCAAAGTCTCAAGTTCAAACCTAGTATGCAATTACTGATAGATGAAAGAATACAATCTTTGCTGAAAGATAATTTACAGTCAAGGACCAAACCTTAACATAAATGACTTGTGATTTCCTGTTACCAATGTAATACTGTTTATCTTGGGAATGATTGTGTGAAGTAGTGTTTGCTTCATAAAAGGTAGTTGTTTAAGAGTCAGGTTACGTTTTAATATATCTAAAGATTCACAAGGCTAATAGCCTTAGAAAGAAATATCAATATATTTATTATATTTCCACATCCCCAAAGTGAAATAATCATCAGTGCCATAGACTGATGATGTGATACTGATGTGTATTACAATCGAAGTTATAAAGTTACACATTTTTGCCTATCTACGCAGTAAATGAGTTTAGGCAATGAAAACTTGTATATGAGGGACTAAGAGTTATGCTTCAGCTAGAGATGTTTGCCCAGGCTTTCCAAAACAGAGTCCTCAACAATCTCTTTCACACCTACAAGCACTCTTCCAGAGAGGCAGAAGAGAAAGGTTATCTGCGTGATAGATGTGTTCTGCCCTCTGATGAACACAAATCATTACTGGTTTTAATCATGGATGATCTCCAGGGTACAGGCAGTGCTTTCTTTCAGCAGAGGTTTTTGTTGGCTCCATTGGCTTCTGGGGAGCTTAGCAGCTACATGGCTGCTGTGAAGCCACTGCTAACCCATTATAGTTGGAAAATTAATCGTAAGATAACAATAAAAACAAACAACTTATTTCCTTCTTTCTCTCCCAGCTCAGTCAAAGGTATACAAAATACAGCAGGCCTGTAGAGAAAATGAGATAACTTGGTTTCTGCTGACCTGTCCCTATAAATCATCTTGGACCTCAACAACGGAAGCAGACATGAAAATCTTCCTGAGTTCTCACAGACACTAAGGTACTATAAAGATGTTTCACATCCAATTTCAGAAGAAATACTTCTTGGTCTGTTTTGTCCAGACCACTCCTTATTCACACACATTTGGCTAAGTGAAATATAAATAACTTTCACCTACATCTATTCTACCTTAAAAGTTTTGTACAGTTTCTGCTGCCAGAGCTCAACAGATGCGTCAAGTAGGGTTATCTACCAGGACGTACTGGCAGTGATCTGAATGCTTTTGTAAGTCCTGACTTGTCTATGTGCAAGCGAAAACAGGCCAAACTCTAATGAATTATTAAAACTAAGACGTTCAGTACTCAGGGTGCAACCCAGCTCTCTGTCACAAAGCCTGGACAAACAAGGTCTAGCAGTGGCCTCCACACAATATAACTATGCCCATCAGTGGACATTCTGGGTTTAAATCCTTCTTGGAGGTCAGAGCAGGCGTTTTGTCTGAGCTGGGATCAGAGGAATGGCAGACAGGGCCTGGCAGGTGCCTGTCCAGCCCAGGCTCCTCAAAGACGAAGGACAGACATAGTGGTAGTGCACACAACTTCCCAGCCTGCTCCTTGTAAACACTGTGATACCACCAGAATACTTCTGGAGCTGAATGCAGAGCTTTGCCAAATTGAGGCAACCTCATTAGACAACCCCCTGAAGGGGGACTCTACAGCAACTTAAATAGGAACTAGACTTTATAATTTCAGAAGTAAGGGACAAGTGATTGCCCTATGATAAGAGAGCAGTGACAGATCAGGTCATTCGTTTCCCTCCTAAAGTTTTGGAAATTCAGTTTGCAAAATCATGCTCTAGAAGTACCCATCAAGCAAGCTGAGTTCTTCTGTAAACAAAAATGTGGTAGGAGGTAATAAGACATACTGATTCCTACAAATAAGCCTTTTCTGGGGTTATACCTGAAAAAAAAAAAAAAAAAAAAAAAAGTGGTCTATTGTAATAGGGGGAAATATGAAAGACTTTTAACTCAAAACAAAGTCTAGAAACAAAACACTGCAAAAAACATGCATATGGTTAAATAAGATTTTTTTCATGTAATGTTGCCTTTGTAAAAGTGTCCAACATCAACAGGAAATATTTGTGTGTCTGTCAGGATCACTTGACTATATTTTCACAGTACTATCCTGTGTTGGTGCTTTTAGATTTAAATAATATGCAAAGCTGAGTGCTCTACAATGATTAGCAGGGGAATTTTCTTTTGAGTTTGTAGGTTCACTTCATTCCAGAACAGGAAGCAGTTTTATTTACTTGCTTAATACAGCATCAGCATGATGAGCAGGATAGCTTTCTAGCTGCAAATGAAAAGGTTCAGAGATTAGCACTTTCCCCCAATGGATGTTATGGCTCATATACCAAACAGCCTGAAATGGAGATGCTGGAGATGTTTCAGACCTTAAAAGTGTAAAGCTGTGTGTTAACTCAGATGAGTTTCGTATTTTATTACTACAGATAAAACATACAATTTAATTAAACGTGCACCTATAAAATGTAAGGTTCAGTTAACTCCTGGCTTTATTTTAATACAACCTACATAGGTAACTAATGGTAATGCTATGTAAAGAATGAATGGCTTTTCAAGTCATAAAACACCTTGCAGCTATATTGGTTTCTCAGTTTATAACAGCTACAATATAGAGCTCAGTTTCTGCTCACATCATCACTTAACCCTTCATCTTCTATATTCTTCCTTACTTATCTACTCAATTCATCTTTAGGCACCATAATACATTCATTAGCACACCTATTTTCTGTATCATAAGTGAATTTCAATCTGTATGTATTCAAATCTGAGGCTGAATTTTAAATACATTTAAAAGGATGCATATGCAGTACGTGCAGTCAGAACACCAAGAGCGGCAGTACCAATGAAAGTAAATTTGGGCACGCCTTTTACCTGGGTGCATATTTGAAAGTCAAAGGAACTGAGTCACAAGGTGTTTTCTTGTGTGTAACCAGATGCTTCAAGGATTCATCTTCTACTTTGGAATGCAATTTAAAAAAAGAATTTTTGGTCAACAAGACTGAGCAGGGTGCTTTTCATCTTAATGCTGGTATGACTTATAAATTCTGTTGTCAAAATAAAATCTAAAGCATTGCTGCTTTGCAAACATATCTCCACTTAGCAAGGTCAAGATACATGATCTTCAATGGGTATAAGCAGAATTAAAAAAAAAAAAAGAAAATGCTACAGCTGTTTTGAATCGAATCAACAGATGGATCATTCAAGAACTCCTCACACCAAGTACCTGTACTGTTACCAGTCTATCAGACATTTAAAGTACCTATTGCTGAAAACAAAAAACATCCTCCTTTCTCCAAGAACAGCATGTTTTCTTTGCCAAGGTGGCCTTAAAATATCCTCTTTTCAGATGCTCATTCTTTAATGATTTCCCCTCAAAAGTGATATTTCAACTTCAATAATTACTATATTTTTGTTTTTAGGGCAAAACACCAGTTAGCTTAAATGCTCCCAAATTCCATTGGGCATACTGAACACCAAGTAAAAAGGAAAAAAAAAAAAAAAAAAGTACCTCTATTCCTTGAGGCAGTACAATGTTAAGACCATTTTATGCTTCACATCCTTTTGTCTGATTTAGGATGCTTCCTTAGCATATTCAGTAAGCAGCATCTCTGAAGCACAACATTCTTCCTTTGCTTTTCAGCGTTTCCTCCCTCATGTTTGGCTGGTTTAGAAACGTTCAGTATGCAGATGGCCAGCTAAGAGCTACAAGCACTTAGCTGACATACCCTGTGCCATGACTGACAGAGATGAAGCTCAGAAAGACCACGCTTGCTCTCTGGAGATGACAGGCAGGGCAAGATGGAGAACATGGTGCCCTGCCTCTCTGGGGTTTGGGTACTAATACTCCCCTATCCACCTCCTGCAGCTTTCTTGCTCAGAACCAGGTCAGGCATCTCTACCTTGCACATCAGTGTAACACCTTAGTGTCCAGGGCCTTAGTGTCCAGGGCAAAGCTCAGCTCTGGAGCTTTATGTTCACTTCAGAGGATGTGTTGGCCAGATATGCACGCGATACAATTCCTCTCCTGCACTGCTTGAAGCTCACACCCAGAGAGCTGGTGTCACCCTTACAATGTCATGCCTTTTTAATTTGCTTTGTTTTAGGAAATTTATTTTGACATGTGGCAGAGCTGCCTAAATCTATGGCAGCTCTAATCTATAATCATGCCTCTCCCTTTATGTGGAGCTGAGCCATTGTAGAGACCGAAGGCAGATGTGGAACTCACCTTTTGTCCAGATGTATTAAACGTAATTACAGCAACATCCATTCCTTTTGCTTTATGTATTAATTTGATCCTTGCTTGTTTACATTTTTTTTTTTCCAATGGAATAATGCTGATTGACTCAAAGGGCAGCTCATCAAATAATTTTGTCGTCTGAAGCTCCTCAGATTTCTAGTTTATGAACATATTTAATTAAGTTAATCAAAAGTAGACTCAATACAATTTACATGATAAAAAAGACATTACTGCATGAATTAAAACATTTTAGTTGACATCTGACAGATGTTAGAAGAAATGCATTCCAAGACTATATTGACTACATTATTCAACTACATTATTTTTCCTGAACCACAGAAAGACCAATCATCAAATTATCTGCCTTGTGATGGCAATAAAAAGCCGGTTCTTTAAAATATTTACATAAACATCTTTCCTCAATCAAAATCATTGGTCAGTTTTGAAAGTCATGTCAATAACCACAAAGAAATTCTAAAAAATAACTTCTATTGTAAACTGGAAAAAGGTCTCATCAAAACTGAATTTTTGTGAGTGAAAACATGTAAAACAGATAAAGTCAAAACCTCCCTTATACCAGTGCTTTATAAATGTTTAATTTCAAACCTGTGAGAACAGCTTTTATTGATTTGTCTTCCCTCTGGTGTGCCTTCCAAACCAAGCATCCACACACATGCACAGGGTTAGAAAAACAATTGTTGTATTCAGTAAACTCGGTGTCTTTCTTGCCCTCTACTTCCTTCCTCTGTCTGCAGCTTTCCTAGAGTTAAGTGATTGGGGAATTAGAAGCAACCGGAATGAAGGGCAGATAGATTTTTCCATCTGAATTAAAAACAAACTGTTAGAAAAATCCCAAAGGAGAAAAGAAATCCATGTGAAAAGCAACCTTTTCTCCCCTGATGTTTCACACAAAGAAACATTTTCAGCGTGTTCAGTCATAGCATGTTTGTGTATATAGCAATGGACTGAACTCTTGTTCTGCTGCTGCCTGCTCTCCAGAGCTTCAGATTCGGGTTGGAGAGGAGCATTTAGAGTAAGGCACAATGCCTATGAATAGGTAGCAGCTGCAAGCACCATAACCATTAAATAAATGAAAATGAACATTTTATGCTGTGTTTAAGTGGGATGGCAGAATTTTTACTACTAAATTTTGCCTTTTTTTTAAAACATTACTAATAATCTGAAGTTATTCACTTTTACCATAATTTTATTGTTTAATTTTTATAACAGCAGTTTGAGAACTTAAGATTCACATCTATTTTCATCAGAGCAGAGAAGGCTATCACTGAAATATTTTCCAAATCTTCATGTTTCTAGAATAGGCGCAAATTTAGTCCTGTTTGCATGGTGCCCACTACACACAATCTAAGTCAATTCTTACTAATTTACCTGACCAAAATTTTAGTTTATTTTTCAAAAAACAGACTAAATCCTCTTTCCCTTTGGACAGCTTACAGGCAGAAAGAAAGTAGGATGCTACTGTAGGCAGCCATTGTCAACAACTTTTCCTCTGAGTCATAACGCTTACAGAAGCCCTAATGAAGTGATACTCAAAGAATAGCATCCCTCTGTGCTAATCCTTTTGGATGTACATCAGGCACTTCATAAACATTCGCATAAAGAGGCACACCATGACTGGTATTGTAAAGTATCATATATTATTATGTGTAATAAAAAGTCTGAGGATCAAAAGCTTCTCTAGTGACATCTCTCCCTTTTATTTGGTCTACAATGGAGATGTGCAAAAGCCATTTTCTTTCAGTTGGGTAGCGAAAGAAGAAAAAGGTTGCATATGCACATACAATTCAGATAAAATTTAAGATATTTAGATCTTTATGTTACAGGATGGAAAATCTTCCAAAATTTTAGTGTTATTTATCATGACATGTCATTTGACACTGTCTGAATCCCCGGACTGTTGGGGATGGTGTCCCTGACTCCGTACTTCCCAGAAGCCGAGGGCTGGAACATTCAAACAGGGATTTGAGCCATGGAGCACAAAAACAACACTACTACTACCCTCGGGTCTGCAAATCTACTTCTTCAGTTTTCCATTTCTACCTCTCTTTCCCCTCCCTTTATGTCTACAGATCAGCACAGGATCAGGAGATAGCAGACAGCATATGCTTCAGTTTGAGTTCCCAATACTGACAAACCACCAGAGCATGCCAGCTGTGTGACAGACAGACAGACAGACAGACTGCCAGCCAAGGCCTGTGGGTGCTCTACACGGGCTGAGGCTCCTGCCAGTGCAAATCCACGTGTATGTGGGGAGCGGCGATCCCCTATCAGGGGCTGTAAGCGCCCACATGGCCAAACACAGCCTCTCATACGAACCATCTGCTTTCACAGAGATCCATGAGGTTTTCAGTATGGGACTCTGAATGAGACAGGAATTTCCTCCTGGCGCTCAGCACCAGCTTGCTGCCAGCAGCCATGGCAGCCCATGTCCTCCCCTACCCGAGCTGCCACCACCAGCACAGGACATGCACGATTTGGGGCTGACTATGGGACCCAATGCCCTTATCCTGGTGTGCCCCAAGTGGCAGAGGCTCCTGGTAGAGCCTCAGACTACTGCAAGGCCCTGGGCACCCGAGTCTGAGGAGGGAGGGCAGAAGAGGCCTGTGGTGGGCTGGGGTATAGCCAGGTTGGGGCCTCACTGTTGGACTGCAAGACTGTCAGGGAGTAAATGTGGACCCAGGAGCAGCAGCACAATGCCAGGAGCCTTTCTGGGGGCAGCCATGGTGGAGGCTTTGGGGTGTGGGTGGCAGCCAGAGGGTGCTCCTCTGGGGTGTGCATGGAGCCCTCTGGACAGTCAGTGCTGTACACCCGGAGCGCTCGAGCTGAGAGCACCCTTAATAATTTAATTAAACAGCACAGATGTTATAAAAACCCTCTTTCATCACTCTCTGCTTTTCACTCTTCAGGTGTGTATTTAAGTGTACATCACTGTCCCATTAATTGCAATGCGATTAGTATCTGCCCGTCAATGTGAGCAAAACACCTGTGTAATAACATTTACATCATCCCTTGTCTATAAGACATCTTGGATTATTGCATGCCTAGAGTGCTTTACTGAGTACGCCTGTGAAACAAATGTCCTGGCTGAGGCTCTCTAGACAAAAGACAGAAATCTTCCATTATTTTTCAAGGAAAATGCATCGCATACGTAGTCTGAAAATCTGAGCCCCTGTGGCTATGCTACAAGGCAGCAGTTTTGAACCTCACTGGAGTGCTGATGGTAAATAGAAAGTTACTTGTATGGAATGCCTGAGCAGTACCCATAATATTGAAAAAAAAAAAAAGCAAAAAAAAAAGCTCACATTTGTTACAACAGCTTCTTAAGTAGAAAAGTCAATTTTGCAGCTGGTAGCTGGCTTACAATTTTTGAAAAAAACTTTTCTTGGATTAAGAAGGAAACAGTACGTAACAAAAGTCAACTGGCACATTTTTCTTCATTTCATATACCAGTGTATTTATATAAATGTCCGAGTCATTTCTTTCTTTTGTGGGCAGTATGCAATTCACTTATTTGCTCTTTTTGGCTCCTCCCTGTTATGTGACAACAGCCTAAGAACATTACTTTTCCCTTTATCGCTTTCCACTGTGTTGAACAAATGGCTACAGCTAAGTATGAACAAGAAATATTTCAGGGCTGTTTGTTTTTCTTTTTCTTGCAAGCTTTTTTCAGAATCATCCATTGTCCCTTTTTAATTCTATTTGTAAGTTTTACAAAGACTAAAATGAGTTCTTAATCTTTACCAGACGGCCTCTGGAAAAATACCACTGTTTTTGTAGCATTCATGACACAAATATTTGGTGCCTCTGAGCACACAGGTGTTCCTGCTAAAAGCCCTCATCAGCTTCCACTGAGAATCTCAGCCAGGGGACTATCAAATACAAGGGCTTATTTGGACCTGTGGAAGGTATTTTCACAAATGATACTAAGGCAGTTTGGGGCTCTAATGGTTAAAAGATTTAACCAAGTCATATAAATCCCTTGAGGCAAACTATACTGACCACAGAGCAGGGACGATAACTGACTACTAACAAGTGAATGCTTTTGTTCACACACACATGAAAGAAAGTAACACTGTTTTTCTTAATAGTATTGCGAAACTAAAGTATATTCTTATTCAGAAGATTGAAGATAATATACTGCTAATGGTTTATAATTAAGATCTCATAGTAATCAGGCTGTGTATCAGTGTGTTGTAAACAGATCTTCTGAAGCACATGAAGAAAAATACCCATGTATTTATAACACAAAATAGGAATGCTACCACTTCAATAGCTGCAAGGAAAAAAAAAAAAGTGGATGGAGGAAAAAGGAGAAAACAGTCTACTGAAACTCTTTGGAACAGATATATTACTGGTATAACTTCGTTAAGATCAGTCACATCAGGAATGGAGTGGCTCATTGAACACAAATGATGAGGAAAATCAGGTCTCATATTTTTAATGAAAGGAAAAAGCAGACTATCCTTAGTTGAGAATGAGTGGAATGAAGAGGCTCAGAGTGGGAAAAGCTCATCCCTTCTTTTTTATTGAATGCATAGGAAAACAGATTTATTTTGGGAGCTGATCATGGTAGAATCTGCTTGTGTACGCTCCATAAACCCCCCATCACTGGGTCCCAGCTCTCCACTCCCGTGTATTCCATAAGCAAAGCAAAACAGAAGCTGTCGCTTGCAGTCTTGCCACACTATGAAGCTACCCAAATAGAAACCACCCTCCTATTGTCAAAGGCTACCAAAATATTTACTATAATTTCACCATAATTCTGTGACCAACAACAGCAAACTTAGATTATAAAAAAAAATAAGCAACCGTAAAGTGCAGGAGCTGAACAACTACTTGGACTCACTTCCCTTTTTTAAAGCAAAAACAAACAGCTTCGTGAGTGTTGGGAAGATCTAGCATAACAAGTCATTGTTTGAGTCATCATTATATGATGTTTTTCACAAGTCTGAATAATTTCATAATAAGCAGTAAGGAATCAGAGCAATGCCAGCAGGATTCTAATAGCTGCATTGAGCTTAAATTTCCTGTACCTTGCAAGGTATACAATTCAGCAGAACAAACAAATTTTGATGCATGCCATCCTTACATTAATTATGTCTCGCCACATCTGCCAGGGCAACAGTGCACATTAGGGGCCTGAGTATTTTTCTTCTTCCTAGAGTATACTGGTTAGTCAAAAGTAGCAAACATGGTGTGTAGGAGGCTGTTGTGAGCTGTTTCATCCCTGGCCTGCACATGGAAGTCAGAGATTATCATGCTAAAATTATTGCTCTCAAGCAATGGGAGGATAAGGGCAAACTGGGAAAATCATCTCACACAGATAATAGCATCTTTCTAACAGAACTTCATCCTCCAATTCCTAAACTATTAGTATTAAACATTTATAAGTGTGTTATAAATGAAATTGTTATTTGCAGAGACTTTTTTTTTCTAGTTAGGCAGTTTAATAAATCAATGAATTAGCAAACAGAGGGAAACGGAAAATAAATTAGAACATCATACTTGTGTTTACATTAAATGGTCACTTGTATTAATGTTTATAGATGATTTATCAAAGGGCAACATCCCAGTGATTCATTATTCATAAATATTAATGAAACTTTTGTCCTTTAATTTCTATAAAGATGTTTGCCCATAATATATCTTGAGTACAATTTTGAAGGATGTTTTGAGAACATTAAGGAGCTGAAATAGGAGAAGAGCACTGAAAAGAAAGGAAGAATAAGTTACAAAGAA